CAGACAAGAATGGAGATTGGAGTAGACTTCTTCATTCTCACTGGAATTGACTATCTTGTCATCATCAATTATTATCCTGACTACTGGGAGTTAAATTCACTGATGGTAATGACCACCAGTGAGATTGCAGAAGGCCTGAAAACACCTCAGTTGTTACGGATTCGAGGCATTGTGATGAGCCACAATGGCCCTCAATTCATGAGTCAAGAATTCAGGCACTTTATAAATGATTGGGAAATTCACACCATGCATCATCTTCACAGTATCCCCACAACAATGTAAAGGCTGAAACATCAGTAAAAATCATCAAAGCAGTTCTGAAGAAATGAAGCAAACCAAGCACAGACTTTTACAAAGCAATACATGAATGAAAAAATACAATCACTGAAGGCATGACGAGATTAATGGCATGCTCTAACCAAACTACTTTTCCACTAGCCAAAAAATTACAGAAGTCAGAAACAGTATTAAGCATCAGTCACAAAATCAACATGAAATGACAAAAAGCCAAACTTCACTCTGATAAAACTACTAAGTCATTGCCAGAGCTAAGACAGTCACTCAGATGCAAATGTTTCATGCTTGAACAAAAATCAACCTATGCTACAGCCTGGGACCTTGATAGACCAGTCATATGTGGTCAACATGAACAACTCGATATGTCATTGCAACTGTAATCATCGTTATACAACTAGAGAGGCTGTGCTTTCACTGCAAGCAGCTGATCAGGAAGTGATCAGGATGTGATCTTACCACCTACATAGAGTACAGAATGACCGTCAGATTCAAATGTCCGCCATTCACTGGTGAAAAAGACTAGCAACAGAAGTTACCATGCTAACATCACTCGCCATGGGAATGGCACTCTGCAGACAAAGTACATCTCCCTAGGAATGAGCATTACCAAATGAACAGTCAATGACAACTCAGGAGACTTGCATGATTTGGCTGGCTCAGTGGCTAGCACTGTTGCCTCACAGCACTAGGGACCTGGGTTTGATCCCAACCTTGGACCCTAATCTGTGTGGGTGTCCTCCGGTTGCTCCGGTTCTCCCCCATCATCCAAAGATGTGCAGGCTAGGTGGATTATCCATGGGAAATGCAAGGATAGGATAGGGGCCTGGATGGGATGCACTTCAGAGGACTGGTGTGGACATGATGGGCCAAATTGCCTGCTTCCACACTGTAGGGATTCCATAATTTGAAGACTATTTATGCAATGCATGAGCAGAGACTGACAGACCTACTAGAGTTAACACAATTTTTTTAATGAATGATCATATTCTTTGTGACCGTGTACATTGGGTAAATTGCAATGAGAGTGCATGCAGTATATTCTTTAATGGGAGTGGGAGTAATAGCCTAGTGGTATTGCTGCTAGACTATTAATCTAAAAATTTAAGTAACGTTCTCGAGACATGGACTTGAATCCCGCCATGACAGATGGTGGAATTTGAATTCAATAAAAATCTGGAATTAAGACTCTAATGATGTCAAATGGCAAAAAAGCCCTTCTGTTCACTAACTTTAGGGAGGGAACTCTACCATCCTTACCTGGTCTGTCGTACATTTGACACAGCCCCACAGCAATGTCGTTCACTTGCAACTGCTCTCTGCACCATCTGGGATGGGCAATAAATGCTGGCCTAATAACACTCACATCCTGTGAATGAATGAAAACTAATGAAGTGCCTTTGTGTGCAGTCTGTGGCAACCATTTAACGGACATCACTTGGAACACATTAGATCAGCCACTGCAGTGTTCAATGGAGCCACATATCCAGTTGTCCAGTTTGCTGCTGCTTCTCCTCTACTTGGTGCATGTTACCAAACATACAATAGGGGCAAAAAAAAAGATTTTTTTTGCCTGTAGCATCAGTGTGCTGGTATATAGATGAAATCTGCAATAGGATAGTGGACAGATTGGAGAAAGAACCAAAATGATTGAGAAAACTCAGAGGTAGGGGATTTGAAGGTGCATAGTTATTTGAAATTGAGCCTCCTCTGTTCTAATACCAAAAGCAAAACATTTCACCCTGTTATGTGCTATCAGCGAAAAAAAAATGCAGTAATCGAAGAGTTAAATCAATATTACTCTTGTAATTAGCATTATCCTCCTGAACATTATCATTCAGAACTGTTTATCATTAACTGGCCTTTAAGTGTGATAATGCTAATTAATTGCATATTGATGAGCTACTGGATCTTTGCTTATTTGCATAATATATATATTTTGACCTTTGAAATGTTATTCTTTTACAATTATCAACCTAACCTATTTTATTAAATTATTTTGTATTACAGTTTCTTTTTCCTACTCCATACATTTTTGTTCTAGGTTTGAGATATAATATGTGATTTGCTGAAATCTAGAAAAGATATTTTGTCAGAAAACATAAAGTACATTTTTCAATAAAGCTTTATCAGGCGCGGTAATAAAATTGAATCAATTTGGATATATCAAAAGTTTATTATGTGTTCTCACTGATTTCCATTTGTAGGATTCACTGACAGCTGAGTAAGTCAGTGAATAGTTTCAGCAATTAGAAAATCGTACAATGAAAAGAACATTAAGGACATAAGAACTAGGAGCAGGAGTAGGCTGTCCGGCCCTTTGAGCCTGCTCCGCCATTCAATAAGATCATGGCTGATCTTTTCATGGACTCAGATCCACTTACCCGCGTTCTCACCGTATCCCTTAATTCCTTTATTGTTCAAAAAAAAATCTACCTTATCTTTAAAAACGTTTACTGAAGTAGCATCAACGACTTCACTGAGCAAGGAATTCCATAGATTAACAACCCTCTCGGTGAAGAAGTTCCTTCTCAATTCAGTCCTAAATCTGCTCCCTCTAATCTTGAGGCTATGCCCTCTTGTCCTAGCTTCACCTGCCAGCGGAAACATCCTCTCTACTTCTATCTTATCTATTCCCTTCATAATTTTATATGTTTCTATAAGATCCCCCCTCAATCTTCTGAATTCCAATGAATATAATCCCAATCTACTCAGTCTCTCCTCATAAACCAACCCCCTCAACTCTGGAATCAACCTAGTGAACCTCCTTTGCACCCCCTCCAGTGCCAGTACATTCTTTCTCAAGTAAGGAGACCAAAACTGCACACAGTTCTCCAGGTGTGGCCACACCAGCACCTAGTACAGCTGCAACATAACCTCTCTGCTCTTAAACTCAATCCCTTTAGCAATGAAGGACAAAATTCTATTTGCCTTCCTAATTACTTGTTGTACCTGCAGACCTACCTTCTGTGATTCATGCACAAGGACACCTAGGTCCCTCTGCATAGCAGCATGCTGCAACTTTTTACCATTCAAATAATAATCCTTTTTACTATTACTCCTACCAAAATGTATGACTTCACATTTATTTACAT